AAAACTGGAATAAGATGTATTTAACCAAATTGTCACATTTTTATCTCACAATAACCTGCTGGATGCAAACCAATAAGTCTATAAATGTGTGCAGTCCACTGAGACTGCACTACTTTCAGTCACTGAAGCCCTGCAGATTGCTAAAGAAAGTGATAAATCATCAATTCTGCTTGATTGCTGCTTTTGATACATTGAATCACCAGATTCTACTGTCCACCGTCTCCTCAATGGGCATCACCATCTGCTGGTGGGGGTCTTAGCTCACCAGCAGATCATTCAGGGTTGCCTTGAGGGAAGAGGTATCCAAAGTTAATCAGCTGGCCACTGAGGTTCCTCAGGGATCTGTACCAAGTTCCCTATTTTTTTCTATTTACACCACATCACTGGGAATCATCATCCATGATGTTCATGTGGTTTCTCTTATCATTGTCATGCCGACAACACACAGCTCTATCTTTAATTTCATCCTGATGACCCAATGGTAGCTGCAAGGATATTACACTGCCTGGAGGATATTCCAGCTTGGATCAAACACCACCTGCTGCTTAATCTAGAAAAACTGAACTTCTCTTCTTCCCTACAACTCCACACATTCACATTCAAATTTCTCAATCCAGCTGGGATCATCTACAATTACCCCATGTAATTCAGTCTTCAAACCAAATCTTGGGGTGATCCTTGATGATCAGCTGTCCTTCAAAGAGCAAATTGTTAACACAGGTCGATCATACAGGTTTGCACTTTTCAACATCAGAAAAATTATATTCTTCTTAACAGATCATGCTGCACAACCCTTGTCATTTCAAAAGTAGACTACTGCAATGCTCTTCTAGCTGGTCTCCCATCTTGCACCTATAGTCCTCTTGAGATGACCCAGAACGTTGCAGCTAGTGTCGTCTTCAATGAGCCCAAGAGAGCCTATGTAACACCTCTTTTTTCTCTCTGCATTGGTTACTGGTTGAGGATAGCCACTGGCATTGCACCCTCTTGCCTTTACCTGCTCCTGAAGATCTACATGTCTCCCGGAGCCTCTGGTTGAAGAGTGTGTGCAGCTTTGTGGTACCATCGCAGAGAGGCTGTAAGTCACTCTCCAAAACCTTTTTATTCAATGTTCTTCACTGAAAAAACTTTTCTGTGGTCACTTGATCCCTAATTAATAAAACCAAGACTCTCCTTCTCACCCCCACCTCACAACATACTAACAGCTAAATATTATCAATCCCGAGTGTCCCTCACACCTGTGGAAACACACTCTTTCTCTCTATGTCTCTCTAAAATCTCCCCCCTCCTTAGTCCAGCACTAAATTATCTGAGCACAAATGATTTGCACTTGTGTGTATTGCCTCTTTTTGTTACATCACTGAATTCTTCCTTAGTTGTTAATGACTTTAAACAAAAGCATCTGCCAAATGACTAAATGTAAATATCTATATATTATAGTCTGTTTAGTCTATAACACTTTATTAATAAAATCCACCTCATATTCTACCCATGAACTTTCATGTCATAATTATATCACATAACCCAGAAAGAGGAGTAGTAATTTGTTATATGGCAAGTAGTCAGGCTAATTTTTTACTACACTTTTTTATTGTTGATTAATTGAAATACTGCTTCTGTGTTACCTTTAACACCCTGTGGATGGTAATCATACAGGCACAAATTTAACAATAATTAATTGTAACATAGCAGACACTGACAATGAAGATGAGGATCCACATGAAGTTCATTTACAGAAAAGTTGTGCAAGCATAAGGTCAGAAACAGGAGCATAAAGAAAAATCCAAATAATGTCATCAAAATACACAGGCAAATAGTCAGGTTAGGCAGCAAAGAATCAAACAATGGTACACAAACAAATGGTCAAAACCCGCGAAGACAGTGTAAAAACGCGTTGTAATGTTTGTGAAAAAAAACAAGACTTAGCCCCGATGTGTCTGTGTTCTGAGTTTATAGTCCAAGAAATTAGTACATAATGATCTACTGGCTGTGTGTGTAATCAGTTGGAATCAGGAGTTGGTGTGTTATGTGCGGTGCATGCTGGGAGTTGTACTTTGATAATGTGGCATGTGTGTTCTCCAGCGATCTGCAACTATCAAATCACCAGCGATCACAACATGGCAGATTCCAGATGCTCTTAAAACAGTCCAGGAGGTGGAGTGGAGAGGGAACTAGGGTGGGATAAAGAGCCAGGTCCATGCAGTGGAGATTGGCCTGAAGCATTGAGCTACGGAGGACCTGGAGCATGAAGCTGTGGAGGGCCTGAAGCATAAAGTTGCGAAGGGCCTGGTGAGTGGAGCTGTGGAAGAACCTGGTGAGGGGAGCTGGGAGGGCCTGGAGAGTAGAACTGCAGAAGGCCTGGGAAGTGAAGCTTTGGCAGATCTGGGTTTTTTAGTTCAGCAGGCACTGATGAGTCAGACAACCCCAGTGGGTCATGAGGTTCAGGTTCAGTAGACACTGGCAGGTCAGACAATTTCAGTGGGTCAGAAGGTATTGGTGGTTTAGGCAACCCTGGTGGATCAGGTGGTTCAGAGTCAGGAGGTACCAGTGATCCAAACAACCCTGGTAGATAAGTTAGCTCAGGGGCAGGAGGTACCAGTGGTTCAGATCATCCTGGTGGATCAGGTGGCACTGCATCAGGAGGCATCATTGGATCAGGAAGCTGCATAGACAGTTCTTGTAATTGTATCTCTGATGGTGACAGCAACCACTCAGCTCTGATGGCAGTGGATGGTCACATGGCTCTGGTACCCCCTTGTGGGACTAGATAGTGACTTTATCCTTGGCACCTGCTATTTGGTGGACTCAGAGAGATCTAGTGCCAGCCATTTGGTGGATTCAAAGGGATCTGGCACATTCCATCCTGTCAATTCAGGACTATTTGGTGCCCGCAATTTGGTGAATTCAGGAGGATGTGGTGCCTGTCATTCAATAAATTCAGAAGCATCTGGCACCCGTCATTCTGGGAATTCAGGAGGATTTGGCAGCGTTGATGGCTCTGGCAACGCTGGTGGCATTATGTTAGAAAAGAGTGGTTTAGACAGTCCTAAACAAATAAAGATATTTAAACACAAGTCACTCTTAGTTAATAAGTTTGCTATTTGTATAAATTCCTCCAAATATCCCGTCAAACATTCATGAATTCATGTTTCGACTCGAGTCTTCTGTAACAAAGTAGATGCTGATTAAGGAGGTGAGGAGTTTGTTTAGAGGAAAGTGGTGCAGGTAATGGTCAGGAACAGGAGCAAACAGAAACATAGAGGTAATCCAATAAACATTGTCAAAATACACAGGCAAATGGTCAGGCTAAGCGACAAAGAATAAAACAACGATACATAAAGAAATAGTCAAAACTTGGGAATACTAGACAATGGAAACTGTGTTGTAATGTTCGTGAAAAAAAACAAGACTCAGCCCGATGTGCGTATGTGTGTGCTAATTTTATAGTCCAAGAAATCAGTACATATCCGTTCTTCCGGCTGTGTGTGTACGTGTGTAATCAGTCAGAATCAAGAGCTGGTGTGTGTGCGGTGCATGCTGGGAGTTGTAGTTTATTACTGTGGTGTGTGTTTAATTTTCAAGTGATCTGCAACTGTCAGATTGCTGGTAATCACAACACTAATGAGTATACAAATGAGTAGAACAATGTGAAAGCCACATTCACGTTTGATCAGTTTATTAATATAAAGTAATATATACACTGTAAAAAATGGCAGTGATTTCAATGGTAAAAAAACTGTAAAAATGCTACAGTACAAATCCGTAACCTGGTTAACAGTATGTTTCCTTAACATATACGGCGAATAACCATAAATTGACTTTCCCAGAATTCTCTGCCTGGCACATTACTTTTTATGCATTTTGTTGACATTATTATGGATCTTTTTAATTGTTTCCCCATCAGTTATGTACATTAGAGATTTATGTTACATCTAATGTTGATAAACAATGTTTATTTCTTGACTTTAATTTTATACGTGTTACCATACTGGTGTTTAGTAGCTGTGTGAATGACACTGAGCACCTTCTATATGCTGATACTCTTTTCTGCTTGTGGGAAAAGTTAATTGTAATGAGCATTGGCTCAATATGTAACTTTCTTATCACCACCTTCATGTGGGTGTGCTAACGTGTCTAACTGTGTAACAAAAGAAGTGTAGATGTTGGTCATTCAAAATACAGACATATTACCTCTATAAATTAATAAAATACGGTAGTTTACCGTAAAAATAAGAAATTACTTGTTGGTTTGTACCATGTTTTTAACGGTAAAGTACTGGCAACCACAGCTGCCGTTTTTTTACCGTAAATTTTACGGATTTATTTTTTACAGTGTACTCATATATGCTTTAATTGTATATTTTTTTTCAGCATAGCAATAAACACTTTATTCTCAATATTAAAAGTTTCCATCTCAACATAAACACACTTTCTCCTTTTTGTGTGTATACACATAACCTGGTGTTATGTGTATACACACACATAACACAAGTTATCTAATATTACTCTGTGTTTACATCTTTACCAAGTGTTACAGATTGTTGGTTTTTATATAAAAATACAGGGAACTCAAGACTTATGAAAAAGCACAGGAACAGAATAATAAATCAACCCTTTACATCAGTGGTTTTCAAATCTGATCATGAGGACAGAACATTTTTTACATTTTGAATCACTTTAATTTCTGTTGTATGTTGGTCTGAAAATTACAGAAAATATTCCAGTGGATGCAGTGTCTACTGAAAGAACTTTTTTTTTTATCATTATTATTAATTAAATTATTAGAGTTGGTCATTTACAATTCCATCTACAAAATATGTTCGTATTATACAATTTTAATACAATATATAACACAGTTTACAGAACTAAATTAAATTGTAAACTGAAAAATGCAGCAATAGATGTTCCTCACTTTGTAGATACATCCCCATCTTCTTTGAACCAAAGTGCATGTGAACATATATACAAACTTCTCAGCTGGTCTTGACACACATACATAATTAATGAGGTACCAGGATCTTTCCTGTCATATAAATAAAAATAAAATAAATAAATAAATAAATAAAATACAAATAATATTAAAAATTGGAATTAATCTAATCTCCACAGACCTGTTAATTTTTTTCTGTAGTAAAAGAGTTCAACAGCCGCTATTATGAATCCTATCACCAAACCAGATGCCCCAACAGCAATTTTAATCCTCTCAGACTCAGCACGAGATGGATCTGTATCAAATAGTTGTGTCAAATTATAAAGCAATCATAGTTCTAATATGTTTGTATGCAAGTGTCTCATCTTACCCCAGTCATAAATCATGGGTTTACTGGAGCTGGCGTGCTCAACCATGCAGGAGATCTTCTCTCCAGGTCTGGGTGTGTACTCCAGTTCAGAGTGGATCTGGTAATACCAGTCACCATCAGCCATTTCCATTGTTGAAGTAACTTCAGAGGTCACTGCTTTACCATCTTTCAGCCAGGACACTTTAATGTGTTGAGGATAAAATTCATATGCACTGCAGATAAACATAGCTGGACGTCTCCCATCGGTCTGAGTTACTGAACTGAGCACAACTGTTGGCTTCACTGAATTAAGAAGAGCAACGTTACATATGCATAGTTTGTTAGTTTCCATATCAATGCATGTCTCATGTTATACGGAAAGATGGGGTAGATTTAAAAAGTAAAGAGGAACGGGGGTAGATTTAAAAAGTTAATTTGCAAAAAAAATTTAAATCCCTGACAGTAGAAATGTAACATTGATTCAGGGCTGTCAACTCTACCTTGTTTAACGTGATTTACCTGCATTTCACCCAGATATTACACTCACACCTTCTTACTCTGAAAAGTAATGGGTAACCTGGACTGTATTTACTTAGAAATGATTGTGAAGTTTTCAAATAAAGACTAGGTATGTTGGATTATCGGCATAAATGTTTTGATGCTTTTCAAATATCAAAATTTTTTGGTAAAATGTATTAGTGCACTAATAATTATATATTTTTATTGTCTCATTAACTTTAACTCTGCTGCTGAGTAACTCATTTAGAGAGGGACAAAATACTATCTGAGCTGAGTGAATTTTTCAAAGATGATTTTGCTGTGTAGTAATGTCAGTTGTCTGTGTTTACAGTGTTTAATTTCTCAAAGGAAATACTGAAACAACTCTAATCTGTTAAATTTAAAGACAAACATTTAGTTGGGTTTATATTGATTCAATGCTGGTTTGCTATCCAACAAACATTATTTAAGGTTCAGATAAGAATCTTTAATCTTTGCTGCATTATTTATTAGTTTATTTATTATCACATTTCCCCCCTTATAATTATTAGTAAATGCAGTAAGAAGTGAAAATAGAGACCACAGAAGAGATTACCTGCTTACCTGCTTTAGTACGGAAAGCTGCCTTTTCAACATAAAATCTGCATTCTAAATCGACACTTTTCATCTCTTTTTGCAGAATGACACTATTGTTGTTCAATCTTTCTGCATTTCGTACTCCAAACTCAGTAAATCCTACAAATTTCCCCAGAGTGCTGTTGAACTGCGTGATTAGATGCTTATTAAAATAATAGTTGTCGATAAGCACCATATCACTCAGATCATGAGAGGTGAAGAAGCATCTTGACCACTGGGTTGCATAATATTCATTGGCTGAAAAAGAATGAAACAGAACATACATAGTTTCTTAAGCATCAGAGCAATTTGTACTCATAAATAGGTTGCAATGACATTAATTATATAATTATCCTGTTAAAATAACTTATAAAATGCAATCATATATTAAATGTTTCTTGGGTTCCTTTCATTTTACTCACCGTTTTCTGCTCTAATCAATACAAACAGTGCCAATATAGGAGGGCAGCTTGATAGATTTAGTAAAGACATTTTCTCTCATACTGAAACTCAGCTGAATGCTGCTAGGTGCTTTATGTTCATGTTCATGTGGAACTCGATGAACATGATGGAACTCGAAGATAACTGAAAAACCAGTCACTGCAGGTATAAGTGTCAAGCGTTGCTATGCAGCATCTTTTTTTTATTAGTAAACAAAGTAGTTACCCTTATTTTGAAATAAACTCTGTTAAACACAGCTTCAAGCACAACTGTCCAAAGTCCACAGAGTGTTAAAGTTGCAGTAACTGATTGCTGAAAGTAATAAAAGAACTAATTTATAATGATTCAACACTGATGATGAACACCTGCCATTAGGCAGCCATGGTGTATAAACTAATTAAACGTCATACTTAAGTAAAAGAAGAGATACCTTACTAAAAAATGACATTGGAAAAGGTTAAAGTCACTGTTTAGAATAATATTTATATTATAATGTATTGTTTTATTGTACTTAACCCATGTGAGTCTACCTGCAACTACAGTTCAAAGCTCATAGTTACTATTTATTCTTTCCCAATTCTATAATCCCAATTCTATTTTTGTACCCCTACCCCTTCCCTTTTGCCCTTCAAACAGAGGGTGAAGAGGAAGGGCTTCAAAATTTACCTGTATGGCCGTACTCACACTAGGTACAGTTGCCTCGAACCGGGCCAAAGCAAGCTTGTCCCCCCTCCCGTCTCTCCCGACGGCCCGCTCTTACACCACAAATGGGCCTCGGCACGCTTGCGTCATCGCTGCTGCGCTGTTCAGTGAGAAGCACTCTCACTCACTCAGCAGCACAGTGGAGATTTCTCAGGTTATATCGTTTCAGTCATTTGTTATGCGGTGACATGCTGTCAAATATTTCGCCAAACAGTCCTTTGGGATGCGGGGACACACAGTCAGATATTTTGCCGAGCAGATCCGCCACTTTTGGCACTCATAAATAATCATAAAATCCTCGTGCTGAAGGAATGAGGAGATCTGCTGAAGGTGCGGAGCTGTCGTGCTGTGAGGAGTTCTCGTCTTTAATAAACTACGGCAGTTTGCATTCACTAAACAGTAAGAATGATTAATAAATACATATGAAACAGACCCTTAAAAGTCACATCTCGCTTTCAGTTTCGGGCCTTGGCGCGTTTTGCACTCACACACAAGCGTACCGTGCCAAAGGCCAAGTGAACCGCGCTCAGGCACACACCTCTTCCAACCGGGCCAGGGCCGGCCAAGTGAACCACGCTTGAGCCCGATTCAGCACACTCACACTTCTCAAACGATCCGGGAAACGGGCCTGGGCACGGTACGGATGGCATAGTGTGAGTAGGCCCTAAGATCTGGGACAGCACTACAGCACCTGCAAACGTCATCATCTGTTTTGCGATCTCTTGCTTTATATGAGATCAGATGATCACGACTGCTGTAGTTCTTCCAGTTGAGTTATTTTTTTGGTATTTATCTTCATGAAATCACTGAAGGCATATATCATGTTATTATAATGATATAATGTGGCAATAAGCTCGTAACTGTTGTGTGCATTTACACAGTGCCATATTCATGTATGTAAACACACTAAAAACAACATTAACATTATAGCAGACACTGTAAAAAGCTTATTTCCAGCCAGTAGACTTTCCTGACAGGGTATTAGAGTGTCATCGAGTGTCAGAATGTTGTGGGACTACTATACAGGTGTTATTATTATGGATTATCGATTTTTTTATAATTTTTTATTTTAGTGTTTTGTTTTTTTTTATCATGAAGGTAAAATACGAATGCCATTATGGATGTATTAAAACATGCCTGTTGGTCGTAAAAATTCATAATAATGACCAAAAATACTAATTTGTGGATCTCCTTACTTACAGGTGCAGCTATGCAGCCGTTGTGGCTGGTGTATTCTGGGAATTTTTCTTACCCCTTGGTTTTGAGAGTGATCCTGATAAATTCTATTTTTCGAAGGCTATCTAGCCCTTCCCCTTAGCCCTAAACCTTCAAGATAAAGAGAACGTTCGAGGTTACTAAAGTAACCCTTCCTTCCCCGAGGAGGGGAACGGAAGTACTATAAGTGGATTGATGTTAAATCCACGTATGGGAGATTCGGTTCAGAAGCTACTTGTCTGAAAGAGTATTGAACGGGCCAATTAAGAATGAATTGGCAGTGCAAGCCTGCGCAGGTGTGCTGCATAGGCAATTAACTGAGCATATAAGCACACCTGGCGCCAGCAGACGCTATCCTTTTTAAGCTGAAGAGACTTTAACTGCTAAGGGACAGTCATTATGGCGACGGAGTATAGTGCTTGGGTTACTTTAGTAACCTCGAACGTTCCTCTTCGGGGGTAACTCCAGCACTATAATGCCTAGTTCACACTAGAGGATTTTAAGCCTGATTTGAGCCCGATTTGGAAGTTAACGAGCTCGCCGACAGATCGGGCTGTGATCGGGAAGAAATCTGCGGGTGATCGGCGATCGCCGCTCTTTATGTGTGAACTACTGAGCAACGCATCAACGAGGCTCGCTGACGCGTCGCCGACACCTCGCAGACGGAAATCCAACATTCAGCATGCTAAATATTCCAGAGCAGTCGGCCGACTCAACCCCACGTGTGGTCAGATGTAGTGACGAGCTGCAGCCAATGAGAGAGCAGATCAGCATGAGCTGAATGCCTGTGTGTTCAGGAGCTCAGCAGAAACATCTGTGATTGGTCAGAATGGGCATCAGTGCACTCGCTTCATTCTGCGTTAGCACAGACATGAGAGTAGGCTATATTAACAGTGGAACTAGAATTCTGTAACTATTAGAATTACCATACTGCCCATTCTGACCGTTCTCATATAAAACGCCATACTGTCACAACATATTTACATTCAAAGCTGTTATTGAGATATTAAAATTAAGCTTTGAATGTCTGGCATCATATTTAATGACACTATTACCCTAAAAATATAATATTTTTTTGGTAATACAGCCTATAAATATGTAGTTAAGATACTAAAACACTTAAAGGTCTTGGCTTTCATTTTCACTTTCAAACAGGAGCTGTTTAACAGCACAGAATATGCTGTTTTGAAAGATATCTGAAGTAAATTGATGTTTTTGCCATCAGAAAGTTTTGTTTATGTTAGCAGGAAGTTGCCAGGCAAGAAAATGCACACATATTTAAAGTCACAGTGAAAAGTATCAGACATGCATGCAGTCATGTTGACCAATATGGTAATTTAAGGCAGAAATGCTCAGTTCTTTACTGTTTTGTAATAATAACAATGTCAGAAAGAAATACACTGATAGTTAGAAAACGGCAGGGTGTTATAAATATGTTAGTTTTATTTCAAAGAGTTATAAAATTACAAAAATTAAAAACTCTCTGTGTATCTATCCACTCAAACCTTGCAGATGAGTGATTAATCCGCTGATAAATCAGCTGATTTGACGATGTTTTTAAATGCTTTCTCCAAAGCTTGAAACGCTGTCAGTGATGTAATCAGCACACAAGCAGCCAATAGTGTTCAGCTTTTTTCTGACGACTCCTCCCTCAAATTTTCATTGGCTGTGGTTTGGTAGCTTGAATGAGCTGATGGGGAATGAGTTGTTGTCAGATCATGTAGTGTGTGACCCCCCTCTTGTTGATCGTTCACGGAGTGTTGCGTAGTGTGAACACCACAGAGATCAAAAGACACAAAGTCAAGTCATGTAGTGTGAACGGCACAGCGATCTGCTGATGTTTAAAATCCTGTAGTGTGAACTAGGCTTAAGTGGATTGATGTTAAATCCACGTATGGGAGCCCATTGAAAGCGCCATAATGACTGCACCTTACCAACACCCATCATGAGAGAGCGGTCAGGCAAGCGTGACGCACCCAGATCATGAGAGGCGCGGTCCTCCACATGCCCTTGGCCCTAACTTATCCCACTTCAAAAGAAGTTTTACGGAATAGGTATATTTTTTTGGGAGTCGCTAGCGTCTAGGTAACTCTAGGAATATACGACAGTACGTTGGGAAGCGTACCATCCCAGTAGGGAGGACGCTGCGGAGACCATCTGCACCCAATAAGGAACAAAATGGAATTACATATGGACTAACCTTGAGAAGGGGGAGTGCGCATAAGAAGGTGGTTAGCGGATAGGGAAAGCACGGGTCCACCCAGAGGGGGGAACTTAACCGTGGCGGAAAAGCATATGGGGATCACCAGCGGGGATCGGCCATAGCAGGCACCTATACCCAAAACGCGGGCTGACCAGCGGGCAGACCTACAACTTAGTGGGCCAGCAAGTGACTTCTCCGCTGAGTCAGTGCTGGGGGCCTCGGAGGAATCTGCAGGGCTCACCAAATGGGGAACTTTACTGACAGACAGGAGGGTGCCCATCTCTCCGTGTTAGGGAAAAATAGGCACCGCAAGCGTGTTACAACACCTACCGAGTTGTTTCCTCAATCACCAAAGGTCCCTAACACCCTTGAGGAAACCGGTTCCACTCGCAGATTATAAAACCTTGCAAATGTGTTGGGTGTTGCCCAGCCCGCAGCTCTACAAATGTCTGTTAAAGAAGCGCCGCGCGCACACGCCCAAGAGGATGCAACGCTCCGAGTGGAGTGCGCACGCACTCCCGGGGGGCGCGGCTGACCTCTGCTCAAATAAGCACATGAAATGGCCTCCACAATACAGTGGGATAACGTTGTTTAGACTCGGCACTTCCCTGCTGCCGTCCGCCATAACAGACAAAGAGCTGCTCAGAAGATCTAAAGTTCTGAGTATGGTCCACATAAATGCGCAGAGCGCAAACTGGACAAGTAAGGACGGGGCTGGGTCTGCC